TTTTAACAAATTTCTCAAGATAGATCTACGTTCATATGTATTAGAGATCCATCCATCTACAAGTTACATTGCAGAAGTCAATTTCCAACTACTTAACTTAAGTGAGAAGATAGCATAGCTAGCAATATTCAATATTAACATAGCTTTTCGTACTAACACGGCAAGTCACCGAAAGTATTGGTGGCAAAGGGAGACAGGAGGATTTCACTGATTTGTTGATACAATAGCGGCCAAAATCCACTAAGCGCTTTATAAAGGTTTTCCCTTCAGGAGGTCACTGCCTTGTCTTCATATTTGCACCAGCTATTTACTGTTTTCTAGTTCACACAAAGAGTGTCACACTTCGGCCGAAACCTTGTTTAAAATAATGGTATATTTCCCAAATTTCATTGAAGGCAGGCGAAAAGTCATGTAATTAGTTCACTTAAATAAAATAAGGTAAAAGCCAACAGGACAATCAAGTACAAAGCCAAAAACAGTAAACAAGTAAAGAACACTGCCGAAAATCCTCTAAATTCGTTGACACATAGGTCTAAATACGAGATCTTAATGAACTTACTCCCCAGTAAGGCATCTTCCTTCGATTAGAACCAAATTTCCGTTTATGTTTGAAAACCTATTTTTTTCTCTTTTGATTAAAACGCTCTTTCTCCACCCCCCTCTCAAGGGTGCGGGACTTTTGGTGCGTTCGAGGTTGCACGCGGCGAATCGCGCTGCAGGCTGCGCGGCGATCCGGACGAGGCAAGTCCAAGACCAAAAGTCCGTCGCCCCTCTTTCCAGGCGTACGTGACTAGCACCCTCACTGGCAGAAATCATGTATGTATTCTTTTAGCTGCAGGTGACGTTGGAATTGCAGGAACCTCCATTTAGAGCTTGACCAGGCACACTATACTTCCACTTACTTCATAACGGTCTTTTTATAGGTCTTTGGAAGTAGTGACTACATAGTATACAGGTAGATTCTGGAAGGTGTTAAGTACCGACGAACGTGGCAGTGGCACGTTTGTCCAACACTAATTTTGCCTTTTAGCAGAGTAACGACTTGAAGCGGCGTGCCTCTCATACGCAAAAGTGGCTGCAGTAGCCAGGCCAGTCTCTTGAGCATCACAGAATTCTAGAGGAGCTGAAAGCGCATGAAGAAAAAAATAGTTCGAATATAAGCGAAAATCTAACCCTACTCGAAAAACACGGCCTTACTTACAGTAGATGCCTTACTGACAAGTGTGTCATTAGGATCCCATATTTAGACCCAAATTAGTGTACCAACGACATTAGGAGTTCCCTGCAGTTTACTAGACCTGTTTGATGTTAGTGGCAGTGTAATTGATTATTCTATTGTGTTTCGCTTAATTATATTTGAATAAAACGATTACATTACCGCCTGGCTTTCAATCAATCGACAATCTATAATTTTTACCGACGGTTTGAGCAGTAATGTTGACACTTTTGTGTACAAGAAAATACTCAAGAAATAACGTATGCAAATTCAGAGATGACACAGTGATTTTAAAAGAGAACCCTTCAAAAGCGTTCGTCTATTTTTGCCAGCTACTCTAGCTCATACTGCTGCTGATATAGTAGGATACTCAACACTGAGATTTTGTATTTTTTTCGGTCCAACAGGCGGTGGGGAAAAGTGCGTGTACAGGGGCCACAACTATTGGTCGGACCGATATATCGTATAGAAGTTATGATTCATCCGTGAAGGGATTGATCCTCTACATGCACTCCAGAAGCGTCCATTGTTTGGCACAAGGACTAACCGCTATGAAATGTGAGCGGGGAGAGGGTCGACATTAAATGCTGGCCTAAGACTAGATTGTACTTATGGGACCACATGCCAATACAAATGGACCAGGCGCATTCATAGGCTAAAAACAATTATGAGTGGATGTGTAGAGTGCGTTGGCATCCCAGAAAATCAATCAACATCGAGAGCCGCCATCAGTGCGGACTAACGCTAAGCTTTTCCCAGTTTGAAAAACACTATATTATTCAGGTGAAACTCCAGTTGGGTAGGGGGCACTCCATTGTGCTCTCCAATACTAGGATAAGGATAAGAGTTTTCATGACACGTAATCGATTCATTTAAAATTACTTCTGATAAGGACCGGTGTAGTGTGGAAGTAATCCTAAGGTGCTTTCAGATTTCGGCCTGATGTTATTCAAGTGAACGGTGTTTGGCGCAAAGTGCCCAGGCGCAAAGTTTCAGAGCTCAAGAAGGACGGTCACATGCCATAAGTTGCCTCAGAGGTGCAGGATCTGGTAGGGCATATACCTGGTCCTCAACGAAGGAGTCCTTGAAATGAGTCGTCTACCTTTATCCTATCCACAAGGTTGAAGCCCAAAGGAGTGCTTTTTAATACTTTCCTAGTACTACGGATAGCATAATATAGTTAGGAATAATAGTAGTGCCTTCTCAAACTGGAGTTTCACCATTTGTTATGATGTTTCTTTCATTGCGCGCACGCGTATTTCTGAGAGAGTACATGCTTTTGAAAAGCTCATTAAACGAAGGAATAGGTATTGAAAAGGATTTTCGGAGGTCTAACCTTGAAACGTTTTCACCGAAAAAACCAAACCTCACACTCGAAAAGTTTTACCTTCCATCACAGAATTGGACAAGTAGAAGAATCACTTCTCTCAGAGTAGGCAGCAGTTAGAGGTTAATTTCTGTGAAAGCTATTCCAGGCTAGTTAAAACTTCATTCGAGCAGTTTTTTGTGAACTTCAAGCATTGTTCGGTATTGTCATAATTGTTTTGATACCTTCACATGTCTGACTACAGTACTGCACAGCGAATGTCAACGGACGGTAAACAGAAAAGAGTCATTAATTAAAGAAACTTCTGAAGATTTTCCGAAGACTGCAGATGCGGACACTAAGCGTGATAATTTTATAGCGTTTTGTATCAGTACGACTGTTAGTCGGTGAGAATTTATTCAGCGCTTCTGATATCACCTGCTAAGAGGCAGGATGCTAATTGGTCGTCTGCGGAAGCAAGCTATACTGAGATTAAAGTTTACGACGCCGCTAATTTCCTTGTTATGCTTCCTCTGCATACACTTCCTTTTGAAACCTTTGTTCTCTCACGGCAATAAGTGATAAATCAGTAATTTTCAGAAAGATTCGGATCTCCAGAACAGACCCGAGACGTCTCAGGACGCATTTCGAATGGAACCACTCTGGAGCGGGATCCTTATGTTGCTGGTTGGTACACAAGAGTTTTCCTCTGAAATCGAATAGCAGTTCATCTCGGGTCTATTTGTGGACGTATGCAGTAGTATCCGATCTGAGATGGGACGCCGTTCTTGATTGAAACGTTCCGAGGGAATTTGTCTCCGGCCCGGGATAGATTCCAGAGCTCTAAATTTATATTCGATTTAGGAAGAATCCCACCCACAACGAGGGACAGCTACCAACGTCTAACATCGGCCGAGCACAAGCTCTCCTCCCAGATAAGACTTGGACTTCGTCGCGAACTGCCCAAATATGACAGTCCTATTGCACACCGTTAAGCCGGTCTCTTTCCGCATGTGGCAGGGGACAAATGCCCAACTTCAAGGAAAAGTCCACTGCAGGAAAATCCAAAGGTGGAGTATTCAGCCGGGTGCCTCCTAGAGTGTTCCTGATCACTGTATAGACTATTCTGTTCTCGCTATCATATCCGCCCGGAGCCTCCTTCTTCTGTGAAACTGGATCTGTATGCTGCAAAAATAATTGCACCAAATGTTCCCTCTCTCTAATTCAAATTTACACTATTTCCCATTGAGCTCTTCAAATTTATTTCGGCCTACAGTTTATTTCAGCAATGGATGTTTTAGCTAGGCGTTATTGGCTTGATCCCGTTGATGTTTGTTATGGTCCAACTGCTAGCATACCGTCAGTGTCTTCATCCGTTCCAATATTTGATGCTTTCGAAACTTGCGGCCGACGGCATCGAACTGCTTGTTCCAATTATGGGTTTTTCAGCATCACAATTACTGTTGTAAGTTGATACCTTTGTGAGATTATTTGATGGTTTCCTTTATTACATCACTTCCTAGAACCCAATGAGAATCTCGTTTTAGTTGCTAGGCGGAAATGAAGGGTTTAGGCGTTCGGAATCGATGGCGCCATGTAATGATGATTGGGTATTACATACAGAATTGCCTGAAAATTATTACGTAATCAGCAAATTTCACATTTCTTATAATTCGTCTCCATCGTCTCTTGGGAGGTCCAAAGCTGGTTAATTTTCTCTTCTTGTCTCTCTAATGTTCATCCCTCAAACAACGAGAAGTAGCTGATTCTGCAGAAAGGCGTCAGCCGCAGCAAGCATACCAACGTCTGATGATCGTTGATTCCTACTACAGTAAACATTTATAAGTTATGTGATACACAAAACTGACTTCGGCATTCTTCCATTTCTGGAGTGTTGGCCACTTTATTTCACGGGTTTCCCCTTTTTCACGTGCACGTTATCACTTACTGCAGTTTCACATTAGTATGCACAGCTGCGTTTTCGAGTAGCAGCATTCATTGACCTGCATATAACTTCAAACCTTGGTTCCAAGCGTCTGAGCCAGTGGTACGTCCGCATTTGGTTTACGTGAGCAACCTTCTTTTTGTCACCATGAACAAAGTTTTCGGGTAAACGAGAGATGGTACAAAAGCCAAACTGTTCATGCAATTTTTTCGCGTTTTGAGCTGGTGCTCACTCAGGCGCGAAGTAACCTTTCGTCGTAACTTCACTTCTTTTCGTGGCGATATTAAAAAACGGCTACTGTATTCTGATAGCATTGAAGGGCTCTGCCAGTCTCGTGCATGCACAAAGGACTCTTTTCAGTCGACTTCAGAGCATACATTCCATTGAGCGTAGCAGGGCAACCAGTTTGTGGTTTTTCCTAAAATGCCTGGACATTGACAAACAAATGCGATACATTTCGTACAAAGTCCATTGCAACTCTAATTCTTCTTGTCGCATTGTCGCTGTCGCTTTCATCGAAGAACAATCTGAGTTCATAAACGCGAACAAGAAGAAAACTAGCATCTAGCAAAGGATGATTTTTCTCAGCTCTATTAGCTGGGAATGCTATGGCAGAATTGCTCTAAATGGAGCACTGACTATTTTATAGTTATTTTATATACGCCTTGCAGTGAGTGCTTCAAAGCGACCTCTAAAGAATTGCAACGTAACATGCGCGATGACTTCTGACAACCTACACGTGGATGCCATTATCTAATCCTCTGTAGACGATGACCTATAGGGATATGTTCGACGGATGATAACGTATTTGGTCCAATTATTTTGGTAACCAAAATATCAAGGGTCTGGGGGACCTGGAAATTGATCATTTTTGGGCGCCAATTTCTCTATTGATTTTCACACGATTATTCTCCACCTTGTGTCACGCTTCATAGGTGAGCCTTCTGAGGATCCAGAAGTCCTCCTGAAGATCACCACAATTCGGACACTTTATGTTGCTGGATATTAATAGTGATATCGTACGTTTGCTCATTACTTCAAATTAGGATGTTGGAAGACACATCTAAAATCTAGACGGTCACCGCTCAGCTTCGATTGAGAGCAGTCCTCGATATTCACCTGCTCAGTACTACAAGAAATAGCCCATAATATCTCGAGCTTGTTTAGCTGTTGAACAAATTTGCCCTCCCTTTCTTGAAAACAAACGGATGGCGTCCCGCATAATTGAGTGAGCACACAGTACAGAGGAATATGATGAACGCTCACCGCCAAGTTGCTCGGTTTAACCTTGAAAGTTCTAATGTTTTTTGCTACCACTAAAGGGCCAACAGACATTCTTGAGGCGCAGCTCTGGAGAAGGCTCTTCAATGGATGAGAGGCTTGGGAAATTGAGGAAAATTGGAAGCAGCTTCGTAAAGTAGTTGTAAGCTCCCTCGAGCTCAACGACGGCGACGGTCAACTTATAGTGACCGCGGTTACGACAACGAGAAAGGGCTCGTTCCTTCTTATGGATGCCGGGGGAGGTGAATATGAAAGGATACTCGACCGTAGGACTTCCATCGATGTCGGCAACCTGTGTGACGAAATGTCTGCTTTTACGCTGAATTAGCAAAAAGTTATTTTACCCTGCCCCTTCCCCGCGGCTAGATTAAATGTGACACTCGAGTGACGGGAAAAAGCAAGGGGCTGAAATCTTCCACTGCATGCCTTCTGCAGCAATAAATGTAAGGTGTTCTGCAAATAATTTAGGACTTAGGCAGTTTGGACACGGTGAGCACCCGAATCATTGGTCAACTGTGCGTTCGCACTATTTGAACGAGGGGGTTTGTGGTTGGTTTTGGTGAGGGGGGTCGCATTCAGGGGTTGAGTGGGATCAGTAGTTTGTTGGGTGAATGGTTTAATGGTTTTTTGAGGGATTTTGGATGTCATTGGGAGGTAGGATAGGAGGGAGTAGTAGAGAATAGTAGAGAGTATTTGCTGTTTCATTTGACTGATATACCCTCCCCTATCCCCCCGCGCCCCCGCTCGACGCGTTTTTTGAGGAGAGGTGGGCGGAGTTGGGCTGTGTCGACTGGTCTCAGAATCAAATCAAATACTATAGAAACACCCATGATGGTGAGGGTGGTGGTCGGAGAAGAGGAAGGGGGATCGTATTGGGGAGCCTCCTGAGTCTCATGGTGGTGGTGGGGGTCGCATCGAGACCCCCTAAAGGAGGGGGTCGCGAAATTTTTGAAAATGTGCGAACGTCACGGTTGACCCTGACCCGAACTAGCCGTGCATTATGATGTTTCTGCTGTAGTCACGTACAATGCGCGACGCATTGACGCGCTGAAGCGTGTGCTCGCCTCCCACTTTTCGTTTTCTCTGCGCTCTCTCAACGAAGAGAGAATGCGTCGAGCAAACTCGCCAACTATACTGAGCGCCGTTCATGTAGGAGGTGGAGGATGGCACGCATGTCAGGTTGGCCTCGCGTAGGTTGGGATGGCACCCGGGGATGACCTCCCTGGGTATGTGCGCACTGCGTTCAGCCTTGCCGCGCAAAGATTGCTGCCTCGGTTCTCCGGGGCAGCAATCCAAAAATGCGATCAATGAGCTACCCCAGCTCAGCAATCCATTTTTGGATTGCTGAGCTGGGGTAGCTCATTGATTGCATAAAACCATACGACTGCAACCCCGAAAAGCGCGTCAATGCGTCGCGCATTGTACGTGACTGCGGCAGGAATGTCGTAATTTACGCTCGTTCGAGTGCTCGCTGTGTCCATACGGCTTAATCCGTAAGTTAGCGAACGGACGGAAAGGCAGCATATTTTTTGAGTAGTAGAGGGCTCAACTCGAGAAAGTATAGAGAATATAGCGATCAAAAATTCCCTGTTGAGTTTCACTTTTGATAATCAAGAACTGTACTCGGTATAACTTATGATGTATTCCAAGTTTGCAGTGGACAATGGCTGCATGAGAATAAAAAGCCTGTTGTTGGCTATCTTGCGCTATCGCTGCAATATTCGAGCATCTACACTTCTGTGGCGATGACTGTCAACCGCACCATCGCCGTCACATTTCCTCAAGGATACAAAAAATGGTTCAACAATAAGACAACCATTATTTGGGTCGCAGCATGCTGGGTGATAGCATGGACTCATAATGCTATTCATTTGAAAGGTCGGTTCATTCTTCCACCACTTTTGGTCATTTGGAGAAGTATTGGTAAATGGCAGCGAATTGAGGAGAAGTACGTAAGATAGCTACAAAATAAGAGCACACACAACACTTGTGGCAATAGTTCCATCAAAACTAGTCGAGCGCCGGTTTTTCATTTTTTAGTTTTTTTTGTTTTTTTTTTTGTTTTTCGAAAATGGCAACTTTAACGGCTACGCACCATATGCTACTCGCTTCACTTGGCTCTTTTCGAACACGGGTGGCGGACTCGGTTAGCATTCTTACGGCACTTTCTTAAAGACCATATGGAAAACAAAAGCGCCCTGTTTTTTTAGAACGACAAAGCGAAATCTGCGCCTTATTGTTGAATAAATGCTCCAACATGACGACACACATGGGTAAATATGTACACAGCTCAACACCGACACCTGGACACATCCACATTGAAAAATAGCGCTCCAGCTGCCAATGATGCATGATCATATTTCGTTCCGTTGGGAGCGAGTAATCCTCACTTAACCCATCGGTGACAATGGCACTTACTGGTCGATGCCATTTGGTCTGCCAGGCGGGACTATGCCACCTAATGGTGGATGCCATCTTGAAATTATCCTTTTTCGTATTGAAAACATTTTTAGCGTCCTAATCATTGCTAGCAAGCTTCATAATAACTATGTTTAGCATGTTCCGCAGTAATTTTCACTGAGGGCTATTTTATACTACATTCTGGAACGTGGTGTTTAGCTAGCCTTTTTAGAGTCTTAACAGAAAAGAGATTTGGAGTGCATCGAAATTCTACTGTACACGTACACTTCTAATGTTTTTGACCTCCATTCCTCTCGAATTGGAGTTTCCTAAGCTCCCACCTTTCTTCGCAGCATTTTTCTTGTTATATTTTCACAAAGTTTGGAAAAAAAGTCTGGGAAGAAATTTTATTGAACACTTTGCCGAAAAATATAGACTGAAAATTTGATAAGTAAGTTTTTCTGAAGACAATATTGCTCAACGCTGAGCGACATTTGGTCGGACCAACATCTAAGCGTGATCCCGCGAGCTCGCTATGCGCCGTCAAGTAGTTAAAGGCGAGATTACCGTGAAAAGAGCCCACCGAAAGAAGTCAGGTCAGTGATGTAGGGATGAAGAAAAAACAAGAAAAACAACCTTCAACCCAGGAATTTTAACAACTTCGGTCTTGATTCAAGCGTTGATTGAGTGTCATCGGTGCTGATCTCAACGCCAGCTCTCTCTTTCTCGCTCTGCTAAAGGGCTAGAGCATGAAGGCGGGGGAGGGCAGGCAGCGGCGGCAGCGGCGGCCGTGGCACGTAGACGGCCACACTAAATAGCCGGGAGCATATCTTTCGTTATTAATTGCGTGTCGCCCCACACCCTCCGAGGGTCCGCCTGTCTTCCCACATACTGTGCCCTTTAACACTTAGGGATCAGTCGGCTTGTAGCACTTGCACGCTGGCAACAAAGTGGTCCAAATTTGTGGGTCACGACTAATCCTAAAGTGCCAAGAAAAATTTGACTATTTGCCATATGTACGCAGCAGCGCAAGAAACATATCATTTATGTTCGAATATCTTCGCATGCATTACAACATTCCCAGTTTTTCAGAAGGCTGTCACTTCTTGTTTGATCTACAAACTCGCCTTTTCAAATTCAGCAACGAACAATGCGGACGCACACTCGCTCTATATCAAGATCTGATCTATAACCTCACAATTGCCATTTTAACCACTCTAGTTGACATCTATTGCTTGCTGAAACTGAGCTGCGTCAAAAAGGTTTGCTTAACGTATCGTTAATAATAATGATATCATAATCATAACAATACAAAAATCATTGAAAAATAACAAATAATAAATTTTTTCTTGCTAGGAACGAAGTGACTTCCCTCTCGGCAAGTATGGAATACATATTCCTGCTCTTTCGGATGAAGACGATGATTAGGGTGCGCATAAGGGTACATGTACACTGGTTTGCAGAAACTTAGGGACGGAAGTAACTTTCACATGATATCTGGTTGCTAGCTAACCTAGGTCGATCAAATTTGGCACATACATAGAAGTAAATGTTGCGGTACAGTGCAGAGAGTTACTAACAGAAAAGCGCAAAGGGGCGATTGGAAAAGACATTTTTCTTCAAATACCCTGTCTGAAGCGGTCGATAGGTGAGGCTTCTCCAACTCATGGTAGACATTCAAAAGAGAGGAGCTGGTTCTTGATGGGGTGTATGAACACTACGGACTGCAAAGCATGCTCTGCCACGTGCTCCAATACTGGCCACAAGGTTGTTAAGAGTTCTTGTGGAGAAGCGATCCATTCCTTGAAGACCGCGATTGACAACTGCTGGACAGTTGTTGGCGCATGGGGATGCGCTACAATAGCTCTCCTGAATGCACGCCACACGTGCTCCATAGGATTTGACTGGGGAAAGCGGCAGGCTTCACCAATCGCCGAAATCCTCGCTTTCCGAGAGTTTTCAACTATGCTGCTCGATGACAAAGCACCTGAAGAAACGACCCTTTTTTGTGTACGATTCCAGGAATTGTAGAGGCAAGGAAGTAAAGTGAGTGAAAAACGGGATGTGTAATGGGAGTTGCTGCTCTCTTCAAATAATGGAAACTGGAATTTTGGGTGTGGTTATTACGAATAGGCTGTGATACTAATTTTCTGGCCTTTGTGACCTCCATGTTCACATGTTTCTTCAGATGGTAACATACTCTCCAAACCGAGCGGACAAAGAAAGGCCATGGTTCCTCCAGGTAGCTTCGCATTTATCTGTCAGATTAGCCTTAGGGTTCACTTTGACGACCAAGAAAATAGCCATTCAGCTTGCAGTCTACTTTCAGACAACAGCAAACGCAATTTTCTACGCTCTAATGCTGGTATCATTCCATGTTTCCGACTATTCCGAGGGAATTACAACGCGTTTCGTACTTACGGTAGTCGCATGGCAACTGTGGCTCGCATCAGCACCGTGAGTGATTCAGAAAGTTGAAGCAATTTTTGTGTGTAGGTAAGCATTGTACGAACCTGACGCTTACGACATGAGAGATGTCTTCAAGCGATGCATCCATTGATATTCAGCAGTTCCGAACCGCAACTGATCTTATTTTTGTCATCTCTGTGAATTGTATGACTAATCTTATCTAGCTCATGCCTTACTCGCAGTTCCTCCGTCTCTTGGAACACAACAATCTTTCTGATGAGGCCAGATTATCACTCTCAGATAGAAACTCAGGTCCGATAAAGATAAGATAAAGCATTTGCCGTTGATCAATCCCGTTTTTGGGATGCGGCACGCATTCTACTTCCATTTGTACATTCGTAGTGGCGTTTGAATGCGATGTGGCCTATACAATGACTTGCGGGGGCCAGCCGATGTACAAGTCATCGTTTTATCCTCCCAAACAATTGTGGTATTAAAGGAAGTGGTCACGATAATTTTCATGGAACGATAAGGGAAGCTGTGTATTGGAGTGGATAGAGGTCCTGCCCAATGTTACAACACGTGAAGTTTCAGTGGCAGTGGCGCCTTATCAACGGAGTGATAAGGCGCCGAAATCCACTTCCGTTCAGCAAAAACCAAGACTTATCGATGTGGAAAGGGGTGCGATAAGAGCGTGCTAGATATGATACCGTTATCGTTATCGTCCCGTTTTCATTCTGGAGTGCACCTCTTATCAAGCAGCCGCACCTTCTTATCTCATCGTATCATATCTTCCATGGGCTTACACTCGTCCAACAATTACTGCCTCACACCTTATCGATTGATAACGCGAGGGTAGCAAATCCAGCGTGGAAGCCAGCGTGATCGCTTCCTTTAATGCTGGAGTGGACCTCATTCCATAGCCGTATCTTCTTATCTAATCGTATCGTATCTACCATAGATTATGCTCGTCCAACCACTATCTATCTCCAACCTTATCGGTTGATAACGCGGTGTTCGGCGATTCACGTGGAAGCCAGCGTGATCGCTCCCTTTAACCATGCGCTGCTACTTTTTCACCCATCCAGAGAGCACCGCAGAAGAGAAATGCTAAACTGAAACTGACATGAGGGTGGAACGACCATCCCGAGTTCATCAGCTCCAAAACTCGAGCACTCTTGGCGAGCGGATTGATCAAACACAATATATGATGGTAAGGAAAAGTAGATTGTGATGCTTTTACTGCGAACGAAAAGGTTGTGTTTGAGCCAAGATACGCACGTTTTAGGTCCGGAACGGCAACAACTTTCACAACCTAATATTTATCTAACCCCACTAGCAAATTACGGACATGGATAGTTAAGGCCCACACAGAAATCACCGCACCAACTGCTGCGCGCGACGCTGCCCTCCGCGTAACGGCGTGATTTAATTAGCCGCCTCTCTGCTTGTTCCATATGCGGAAGTGATATCCTCGGGAGGGGTGCGGGACTTTTGGCTCGTCCGGGCTAGCACGCGGCGAATCGCGATGGGATGCGCGGCGATCCGAACAAGACAAGGCTTCGCTGCAATAGAATTCAACGCGTCAAAGCGTGTACAGATTTTGGATAAACTTGCATGATTATACGGTTTGGAAAAGCGTTCTGTTTTTCAAAGATTTGAATGCGGCGGCGTCGGTGAGGAGATGTGAGCGCAAAGAGATGAGAGAGGGAACCTTCATAATACAACACAATAAAAGACAAAGTCAGAAATTCTATCTTAGAAAAGTTGTCTTTTATCAACTATGTGGGCTTTGCTTATCGCAACACTTAATGTCTTTAGCGGCATCATGCAGAAGAAGGTCGATGGTAGGTGATATACCCTCTATTAGGTTAGGTTCTAAGCTCAGTAATTGGCTCACTCAGTTGAATGACCCCGTCAACGGCTTGACCGTCCTGATCGCCTTATACTGTGCTGAATCCTACACATCTCTTCCTGCTGAATTTCCTTAGCATCATCGTTGTCTTCAGATCTCCATGCGTTGGAATGTAATTCGAATCGCAGAACCTTGCGGATTTTATCCGCGATCTGCACACGCTTTGACGTGTTGAATTCCACTGCAAAAGCCCGCGAAGACTTGCCTCGTCCGGATCGCCGCGCAGCCCGCCGCGCAATTTGCCGCGTGCCAGCCCGGACGAACCAAAAGTCCGCCTCGGAGAAGCCTGAGTGCCCAAGTTTGCTATTAGATCGTGCGGAAGTCTTCCGCTGCTTTCATTTCACGTCTACGTTTATCAACAACAACAAGAACAAATGGCTGATCAACAAAAGTTCTCCAGCAGTCCTCTCGCAACTGTACCCTTCCCAAGGCCAGGATTTTACACTGGTGTGCAAAACTTAAGGACGAGATGGATAAATTGACATAACTTATTAACAATTAGATGGAATTGGATGAAACTGTGCAAGCATAATGCTAAAGCCTTACAGTCATGGGCATGAAAGTGGGCCTCATATGTCTTGCATCCGGCTTCAATCTGGAGCCTAAAGGGGGTGGCCACCCAGAACGAGGGGTTTGGTGGGGCAGGACAAGAGGGAGTGTACTGAGCAGGGAGAAGTTACTGTGGAATGTAGTGGTGTTCTTGATTACAGCAAGTCTCAGAGACAACACGAGGGTGACTTCACGCGAGGAAGAATCCCTGGGAAACTGGAAGAAGGAAGATTTGTAACGAGTGTGGTCCAGGAGTTTGATGTTGCTCACACCATTGTTTTGTGCGCATAAGGAGCAATATGGACTGCAGCCACTGCTGCCCCTAGAAGAGTAGGTGGTGGATCACGATCAACTGCAACAGCAGGTGATTGCTACGTTTTGCAACAGGCAAGAATTGGACCTACGTCAGTCACAGGCTGCAGTTGCAAAAACATTTATCAGGATTGTAAGGCATGTAATCCCAGTCCGAACAGTGGCGCAGTGACCGCATAGGATGATCTCTCTGACCGACCAACAGTATCCTGTATTCCTTCGAAACCCGCGCATCGGCGGGAACATTTGCTAGGTGCCGGGACATTAGCGATGGACCACCGATTTGGATGATCGCGTGTTCTTCTCAGTTAAGATCAAATTGGATGTAGTAGTGATTTTGGACTTACCCGCATGTGGCGAGAATAGGATCACGTAATGCACCCAGGACCATCGTTCAACATGATTGTTTTGATAGTCCATTCGATATGGTGTGGGGAGGCATAAAGTTGCAAGGGCGTACCAACCTCCCAACTCCTGATCGCGGAATGCTTTCTGATCGACGTTATTGTGACGCTGTACTCCTCACTTATGTGCATCTTTTCAAGGGTGCCTTTGACCTCAACTTCAATCGTATGGAGGACAAGGTGCGAGAGCATCGAGCAGCCTAGGTGGAAAACTCTTGGAAAGCGAGGATTTCCGGCGATTGGTGAAGCCTGCCCGCTTCCCCCAGTCAAATCCTATGGAGCACGTGTGGCGTGCATTCAGGAGAGCTATTGTAGCGCATCCCCATGCGCCAACAATGTCCAGCAGTTGTCAATCGCGGTCTTCAAGGAATGGATCGCTTCTCCACAAGAACTCTTAACCAACCTTGTGGCCAGTATTGGAGCACGTGGCAGAGCATGCTTTGCAGTCCGTAGTGTTCATACACCCCATCAAGAACCAGCTCCTCTCTTTTGAATGTCTACCATGAGTTGGAGTAGCCTCACCCATCGACCGCTTCAGACAGGGTATTTGAAGAAAAATGTCTTTTCTAATCGCCCGTTTGCGCTTTTCTGTTAGTAACTCTCTGCACTGTACCGCAACATTTACTTCTATATATGTGCCAAATTTGATCCACCTAGGTTAACTAGCAGTGAGATATCATGTGAAAGTTACTTCGTCCCTAAGTTTTGCACACCAGTGTAATAGTGGAAGCAGCAGCATTCGGCTTCGAGTTCAACATGTACTCAAGTAGCATGAGCAATCACTTTTGCTTGGGTGCAAGCTCCACAGTAAAACAATACATAAGAGTTGTATACTAAAATGTACCACAGATGCGCACTTTCAGAGTACATCATAACCTTTGGAAATAGTAGGCAAAATAACAAAGAGCCATAAGCCTGAAAAAAGCAGCGATTATTATAATTTCCGATCGGCATGACACGTCTGGGAAATAATGTCTCTCAAAATAAAAAACCGAGAAGTCTGTGTTTGCTTTTATCTAATAATCTTCTCATTATTTAATCATCTCATTCATTAACACAGCTGCTCTCTGTTGATATAATATGTAATGCTGTTAAAAACTCGGATAAAAGTCATTTATTTGTTCTAGAACTATCGAAAAGAAATTTGGTGAACCTGTTATACTTTTGGGAAAGATCGTTTGCGTTTCACATGCATGTGTACACCTCAAAATCCACGTTCACAAGGTAACTAGAAGGCTTCGTACTATGAAACCCTCCTCAATCGATTCCTCGTAGTCGATAACCTATCAGAAGCAAAGCAGATAATATCGCCTTCACTTTCGAAAAAATTTTGGATGAAATTTTTTCTTTGTTTCAAAAGTATGTGCACACTTAACAAAAGACAAAAACATAGCTGAGATTAGAAATCAGTGGGGCCTCCAGAGTTTCTAATTAGCTCAAACATCCTGTCCGGCATAATCTGAACCACGTTTGGCATAGTTGTTTCGTCGCTGTCGGCCCAAATAGCCTCTACCGCCGCCTTCAGTTCATCCGCAGGTTCCCCGGATGTTGGAGTATACTCGTTGAACAATGGTTCCCCATAGAGTTGCAGTAAGGAGAACACAGACAAGCCACTATCATCTAAGAAAAGGAGAAGGTGGTATTGAAGCATCTTTGGTAACCCTCACGCTCACAGGCTAGTTCCGACTTGACGTTGCTTGCCAAGCCGCCTCAGAGATCAATGGGCCTCCTCCGAAATTCCTCTTCGACAACCTGAGCGGTTCACCGCCAAGTCGCTCTAAAAGTGACGAACTCCATCTAACCCTTCAAGATTGAACTCTTTCTACGACTTAAGTACCTAGAAAGAAAATGTGCTTAAGTTTTTCGTTTTGA